TTCTTCTTCTTCTTCTTCTTCTTCTTCTTCTTCTTCTTCTTCTTCTTATTATTATTATTATTATTATTATTATTATTATTATTTATACTGCAGTGCATGGCCGTAGAACAGAAATTCAGGTTGCTTGATCTGTGTCTGCTTAACCTCTGGTCACAACCCTTCGCATTTAGCACTTAGTTTAAGACAAGCTAAATTTTTGCTGAAATGTTTCCTGACCAGTACACATAGGATATATTTTTCTTACTTGTAGATTTTCTCAGTAGGAACCCTCTCTAGCTGTGTCTCCTGTGTGGGAACTGGGAGGGTTTGGGGATGTGTAGACCACAGGCTGTTTCCTTTACTCTTGTATGACTTTGGTAGGTCTCCTCCTGCCTGCACTGTGGCGTTATCTGTTACATGAGGGCAGGTATTTGACATGTAGTTATTGAGTTTCTAATATTTTTACTGTCTAGCCTACTAATTTCATAAGCATTGCTAAGGGTTGTGTTTATCTTGGCTGTATTTGACATTTTTTCCCCTTGTAGATAACAGACAAGAAAGTGTCTAGAAGACATGCCGTTCTTGAGGTGGTGGGAGGCCAGCTTCGGATTAAACCAGTGAGTATGTTCATTTATTTGAAGTCTTTGCCTCTTGCCCTTCTAACACTTGACTAGAGAAGCCTGTTTATTCTAAGGCCTGCAAGTAGGGAATTCATGTCAGAATCTGTTCTTCTCATACTTGCAAGGTATCTAAATAGTAAACTGCTTTTGCTCATAGTACAGAGCAGAATTTGGATGGTTAGATTCATGGAAGATGATTGCCTATGTGTAAATTATAATTTTGTTCATAACTGGATATGCCAAATAATTCCCACAGAAAGCTTGTAGCATGGGTAAGCAAGCACTTCCTATGTAAGAGCCTGAGCTCTGGTCCCGAGCACACAGGTGGGAAGCCGTGTGTGTCTGTAACCAGAGTGGAGGGGAGCTCAGTGTACCTGCAGCTGCCTAGCCAGCTGGCCTAGCTAAAAATGGCGAGCCCCCTGTCTCAAGAGAACAGAGAAGGATGTGACCAGGGAGATTCTCCTCAGCCTCCAAGCAGTGTGTGCAGCGTGCCCTTCTCTCAACAGAGGAAGCATGTGGCTATGCAATGCTCAGTTTCATGGCGTCAGACGTGGGAGTGTGTAAATTCACTCAGTATTGGAGGATTTTATCAACACATTCCTATGGTTCTGTGTGTAGAGTTGAGTATTTGAACATTTTAGAATTTATTCTGCTTCATTGTTTTGTGGGTAATTTTCATTGGAAGTATTTTCTTCAGGCTGCACTTTCAATCATTTATAGTCTGAGCACCAGTGCTTTGCAGGGCTGATCCTGAGACTGCGTAGCTATTCTCTTCTAGTTGCAAACTCCGTCATATAGGAGAATGAGGTGTGTGTATGAAGGCCCATTCACTTTGGAGTAGCTTATTTGGTGGTAAAATAAATTTTATGGGACTAAATCCACTGACTTTGGACATGTAAGCCATTTTTGTATTTCCACCCCATCCCTGGCTTGCGTCTACTTCTGAGCTATTCCCTAGACCTGTGATCTCATTGTTTCTGTATTTCATCTATTTTATAAGTCATTACTTCAATTTGCACAGATTTTTACATACTATTTCCTTTTATTATACATTGCTGAAACTGTTCAATTTTAAGCCTTTTAAATTTACTATTGGGAAAACTTGTAGGTAGAACCAAAATTACTCCATCTCGACCCCGAGTAAATAACATTTTAAAGTTTTGTATTTTCCTGTTGTTGTGCCAGTGCCACAGTCAGCACGCCTGGTGTTCCTGTTGTTTGTCTCTGGGTCTTAGATTTCTTGTCTTAGCTGAGATTGCTTAAGCTCACTGAATATGGCAGGTTGGACTTTGTGTCTCTGGTGTTTACTGTAATGCCTAGACTGTATCAGGCTCTTAATATAGTTGAATGTCTGAGTCAGTGCTGTGCTGAGAAGCGTAAGGTGGAATTTCTGGAAGTAGGTATATCATGGGTTTTTAGAAATGTACTTGTTTGTCAGTATCCAGTTGCTAATACCCTTCTAGTGAACTACCATGGCTCAAAATAAAAAAGTTGGTTGTTACTGAAGTACCTTAAGGGAAGAGTAAGGGGGATTTCTATTCCTGTTTCTGATAAAACGGTATTTGTTTAGATTTACTTGGGTCAGAAAAGCAAGGCTGGATAATAATACATCTGGTCCCAAGTGAAAGAATTGTTACAACACTCAATGTTCTGCAATGTTTGGATCGATTACTTTGTAACTGATGGTCATGAGAGGAGGAATGTACACTAATACTTTAGTTTTGGGTTGGTAGATCCTTTAAGTGTTCTTGATGATTGGATTTCTTTTTTTAAATGAACTCAGACCTTTCTGGATTGTATTGTTAATATTCAAATCCTATTGACAGTAATATGTGCAGAGAAATAAACCAATATAATTTTTACAACATTATATATACATAATATGTGGTAATATATTACATAATATTACATTTATTTGTTGTGTGTATATGTATGTGGCGTGTGTGTATGTATGTGGCGTGTGTGTGTGTGTGTGTGTGTGTGTGTGTGAGTGTGTGGGAGTGTGTGGCCATGTGTGTGGAGAGCAGAGGACAACCTGCAAGAGTGAGTTCTCTTTCTCAGGAGGGGAGTGTTGACTGCTGAGCCACCTCCCTGGCCCACAGTCTTGATCACTGTTGTGCCTCCTGTTTTTTGTGCTTCTTTGCTTTTGCCTCAGATAACAGCTGAAGTATTTCAGCTTGCAGAACAGTGAGGCCACCTAGTTAAGAGCTTAGCATTTCTGTTTGTGAAGGAGTTGATCAGTAGGATTACAAAAAATTGAATAAATCCCATGTGTTTTAATTTTTTTAACTGAATGCTAAGAACACCTTTCAACGATATTTAGTTGCCAATAAATTTTCATATATACATAATTACATAAACACATTATTAGGAGACTATCCTGTTTCCTAAAGTGCGGAGAGTTCAAGCCTATTTAAAACTTCCCAGTGTTGTTAATCTCACTGTAAAACGTAGAACGGTAAAATAAAGTCTATCCATCCATCCATCCATCCATCCATCCATCCATCCATTCATTCATTTACTGTACATGGTGTTTTGTCTGCATGCATGTCTGTGTAGCATGTGTATGCAGTGCCCAGGGAGGCCAGAAAAGGGCTTTGGATCCCCTGGGACTGGAGTCACTGGGTATCAAACCTGGGTCCTCTGCAAAACAGCCCAAACTCCTAATCAGTGACCTATCTTTCCCATGCTAGAATATTCCCTAAGTTAGCTCATCACGGGTGGGAAGCGCGGAGGTATTCTCTCACTTTTTTTGGCTAGGTAAGGGCACTGATATATAGATGTGCCCTAGATGTGCACAAGTAAAAGTGCAGTAAGTTAATGGAGAAATCTCTCTTTGAGTTTTTCCAGGATTCAGTGAGTTTCGTTTCTGAGGAGTTAGCAGTGTTCAGTTAAAATTGTTTCCTTTGAAAACATACTTCAACATTACTGAGTCGTTAAATTAGTCCTATTCCAGTCACAAGGCAACTATGTATGATTTCACTGGTACCTTCTGAATACTAGATTGTACTAGATATATTAGAAACTGGAACGAAACTTCTTTGGGGCCCAGGAAATGATTGTTTTGGCGGGTAACAGCACATGGCACACAGCCTGAAGTCTTGAGTAGACCCAGGTCCCATGTGAAGAGTTCAGTGATGTGAGGTAATCTCAGCACTCCTACAGAGTGGCTGAGACTGGAGTGCGCTGTGTGGGAACAGCAGGGTGGGAGAGTGAGCACTACCTCCCACACACTGTGGCACCTGGACAGCCCCTCACGCACAGTAAATACATTTGAAAAAGTAAAGATTAAAGATAGAACAATAGAGTTTAAAACAGTCAAGCCTTTCAATTATAATTATACTTCTGTTCATCTTCTAAATTTTACTTAATGATAATTTTCTTTTTAGGAATTTTTCAGGAAATGTTATTTTTAGACACGGGAGAAAGAAAAATATCTTTTAGCCTTTTTCTTGGTATTGTTTTTGGAAACTTGGCATTGTGTTTAACAGCTTATAGTGTTGAGGTTCTGGAAAAGGCCTGATCTTACAGAGTCAGCAACTTTTGGAATGGAATTAACAATCCAAGATCTTTTAACCCTATGGAATAAGTTTTTCTCCATTTTATTATTTCTGATTCATGTTTATAAACTATTAGATGTTTTCTTTAAGAAAAAAAATTTTTTTTGGTGTTAAAACTGTTGATTTATCTGAAGGAGTTTTAGGGATTTAGTTGAATTAAAGTTTAGATTTGATTTGGGACAGAGATCGTATTGTGTGGGGGCAGGGGATGCCTCTGAACCTTAGAATCCTAACAAATCCTCTTTTGCATAGAGCCATGAGGGGAGGGGTTTGTGAAGACATCCCATTTAGGGCTGAGTGCTCCGAAGACTCCCTGTCTCCCTTGTTGTCCGGCTGTGGGTCTGTGTTAATTGGCATCTACTGCAAGAAGCCTCTTCTGTGATGAGGGCTGAGTGATGCTCTGCTCTACAGCTCTAACAATATATTAGAAGTCAATTTGCTGCTCCAGCACAGCGGTTCTCAACCTTCCCAATGCTGGGACCCTCTAATACAGTTCTTCATGTTGTGGTGACACCCCAACCATAAAATTATTTCATTGATACTTCATAACTGTAATTTTGCTAGTTATGAATCATAATGTAAATATCTGATACGCAGAATATTTGATATGTGACCCCTTTTCAGCCCCAAGGTTGAGAACTTGTACCTTAGCAGAAGTAGTAGGTTTTCACATTGGCCCATGATCTACCTAGTCTCAGCCTCTTCTCTACTTTATCAGGTGTGGGGCTCATCTCCGGATTGGGCCTTAAATTAAAAACAAACAAAGGCATTAGCTCCCGGGACACCTGTGCTACTATGTCTCGGGCAGCTCTCTGCTGTGGGCCCTAGGGTTTATAGCTGGTGACATTGTTGATACTTTTCTCCTCTACTAGCATGCAAAATATGTTTCAGCACCATGAATGCCAGTCAGGAAGAGCAAAGCTTCTTGTTGGGCACCAGCTCCATGTTCAGTACCATAAGTAAGTTACGCCTTCAGCCTTACCTGAGTCTTGGGAGGAGGGTGTGGTGTAAGTGTCCCCTTTAAGGCAGAACATTCCCAGCCTCTCATTCTCTGCACCTTGTGGGTCTCTGTGTTAATCATCACCTACTGCAAAAAGACGCCTCTTTGTATGAGGCTTGAGAGATGCACCAATCGCTGGGCATGGCGGTGAGTCATTAGGAAATGATGTTGAAGAAGCCGCACGCATTTACCTATTAACATGCATTTTAGTCTTTGGTATATTCTTCACAATAATGCTCACATTTGGGTTTATTTGCAAATTTGTTAGCATGAGGTATTTATAGTATTTTTATTATAGTTTTATTTGTATGTTTTGCCCAATTTTAACTTTTTAAAAACTAAGATTGTATGTAATTCGATATATATTTAACTTAGTAACTAATATGTATTCAAGGTTAACTTAAAGGATCAGTATACTTCCTTGTGATATCATTTTTTACTTCTGAGCTCTACTGTATAAACAGCCTAAAAGAAGATTATCAAGGAACATTAATCCACTTTTCTTGTGGGTGGATTTGCTAACTGCTTGATGATTTGGTATTTTAAACCAAGCTTTTGTGGTTTATTTGGATATATTATTGCACAAATGATGACGTTCTCCATTCTTAGGCAGTCATATGTATATATACATGCATATACACATATATGCACACATATATATAAAGAGGGCTGGCGATGAGTGACTAAGTTGGTATCCTAGGGAAGTTGTTGATGGTTCTAGGAAAAAAATAATTTAACATGATGTGATAGAGGAAGAGGCCATAGGAAGAGTTGTTCCATATTAGAACATTTTGAAACAAATCACAGATTTTATATTGTTTTGTTTTTATTACTGTAGATTGCATCATTTAGTAAGGCTTCTTTCAAAGCCAGATAGTGAAACATGTTGTTTGACTTATAGCCAGCTTTACCCTGTTTACATTTGAAGTTTTTTATTTCATGTGTGTGTGCGTGTGTGCATGTGCGTGGGCATGCATGCGTACATGGCACGCTTGTGAAGCTCAAAGGACAGCTTGCTGAAATTGGTTCTCTCCTTCCATTTGGCTCCTGGGGATTGAATTCAGGTCCTCAAGCCTGGCGGGCACCTTCAGCTGCCAAGACTTCTCACCAGCTTGTTTTTGCAAGTTTTGAAGTGCAGTTAGAAGGTATCTTAAAAATTATTTTTGAAGAAAGTATCTTTGCTAATTGGAGGCAGCCAATGCAAAAATAAAATCTAAAATAATTAATGCAGTAATAGTTGTTTTTGATATGTGTTAATTGTGATTTCAATCTAAATCATCTTCATGGAAGGAGTTTTATTTAAAAGTAAAATTGTAGGGGCTGGAGAGATGGCTCAATGGTTAAGAACACTGGCTACTCTTCCAAAGGATCCAGGTTCAAATCCCAGCCCCCACACAGCAGTTCACAACTGTCTCTAACTCCAGTTCCAAGGGATCTGACATGCTTAACCAGATATACATGGAGGCAGAACATCAAAGTAAATAAAATAATTAAAAAAGTAAGCAAGGACCATGCATGGAGATGGCCTGGACCCCTGCACAGATGGATGTAGCACATCCATCTGTAGATGATGCACAGTGTCCAAGTGCATTCCATAGTGATGGGAACAGGGGCTGTCTCTGACAGGAACTGATTGGCCTGCTCTTTGATCACCTCCCTCTGAGGGGGAGCAGCCTTACCAGGCCACAGAGGAAGACAATGCAGCCACTCTTGATGAGATCTGATAGACTAGGCTCAGAAGGAAGGAGAGGAGGACCTCCACTATCAGTGGACTTGGGGAGGGGCATGTGTGGAGAAGGGGGAGGGAGGGATGGGGAACGGAGGAGGGAGGGAGCTACAGGGGGATACAAAGTGAATAAAGTGCAATTAATAAAAATTTAAAAAAATAAATAAAGTTTACAAAAAAAAAAAAAGTAAATTGTTTTTCCAAGACAGCTAAAAAGAAAGCAGTAAGTAATACTTGAGAGCTTTGATCATCATCTGCCTCATGGTTTTTTACTCTAAATTGTGTCAGAAGTTATTAAAAGGTGCTGCTGCCAGGGACAAGTGCATTTTGGACAAACAGTGGGGACCCTTCCCTATTGAGACTTATTCATTTTTTAATCTCTTATCCATTGAGTAGTTCATTTAACTAATTGATAATTTTGCTTGTTATATTGGATTCCTTCAGAAACGGGAGGTAGATCCCCCTTTCCCCCTTTCATGTGTAAATGATTATGGTACTAGGTGCCAGGCTTGCTAAAAAAAAAAAAAAAAAAAAAAAAAGTCATTTTATACTTAATTGTTTTGATACCAAGATTGTCGATCATCTCATATTCAGTCCTCATTTTTCCACACTCGTGCTGCATCGCTGTATTCTTTTATTGATTAGATCCACACGAATCCGTGTTTCCATCAGTCCTCTGAGGAGAGCCAGCTCTCGCCGATGGAGACTCACGCGTGGTGCTGGTTGCATCCTGGGGATAGCTTTTCCTTGTTACTCAACAAGTATGCTTTCCGTGTCTTCTCTGCACAGGCTGAAGTGGAAATGGAGTGTACTTTAAGGTAAGACTGCCTGGTGAAATGCGAGTGAGTAATGGTATTTGTATCTGATGCCTCCGCCTTCAGATCCTTCAGTGAAAGTCATTCTAGGTTTGAATCTTATTTGACTGCAGTACTCAAATAATTTGTATTTCCGGAAAACGTTTGGCTTTGGAAGCTTATGCTTCGTGGTGAGCGCACCAATGTGTGCCATCTTTTACCTTTGTAGTCCTAATGTTTTCACCAAACACAAAAATTAACTGTGTTCCCTTGAATTTTTAGCTTTCTTAATTTTTTAAGGTAGTAATTCTGACTCATATAGCTGAATTTTCTTATAACAACACCATAAAGTACAAAGTAAGAGAAGAAATTAGGTAGCAAAATAACTGTACTAAATCAAGTTAAGAGCACAAATTAATTGCTAAGCCAGATGTTAGGCAATTATTGGACTTTGTTTATGAAGCTTTATGTGACAGAGTTCAAATACTAGACCTGAAGAACTGATTGGAAATATAAATTATTTATGATATATATAATATAAATATATGTGAAACACATATTTCTTGATGTCACTAATGTTCTCATGTATTTTGGAACTACCTCTATTTTGCATTGTCTTATCACAGCATAACCTTAAGACTATTATCAGATCTGTGTTCGTCTGCTTGACACTGTAAAGCCAATACATGGACTTGGTAGAAAAGCGTACTCAACAGCCAGTACCCTAAAATGTGGAGGGAGCTTTCTTCTCCCCAGAAGACCATCTTGGGGACCTGATACAGGGAAGGGCTTGTGTAGATGTGGAGAGGAAGTGCATGGGCAGTGGTAGGAAGGCTGTGTGCTGTGCAGGGTCTTAGGCAGCATCCTCAGGATCAGGCTTGGGCTTTTTCTTTGTCTTTTTTTCCCCCTGACTGGAAACTAACAACTCCTAGGGCTAATTCTCATAACCCTTCAGACAGGATTATTATTATTTGTCTGCAGGTTACCCATCCTGCCAGTTCACATGCTCTGTGTTAGTGTTAGTTGATATTCTAAATACAGGATAAGAGGAATGTCATGTTTTCTGATGTTATCTGAAGGTTGCTCCATGGGTTCTAAAGGAAGATTTTAGCAGTTAAGGTCTTAATCATCTAGGTGTTTTATATAGGATGTAGAAGGGGAAGGGATGTAGAAGAAACTCCACCAAACCTAAGTCCTAGGAGTAGCCACTGTTAAGTATGGCATAAGCTTCTTATATTTGAACGTTGAAATCTTCATAACAGTGACTGTGATGGATTCACACTACCAGTATCTCTGTGTTGTTGAAGAAGGTGGAGAAGTTTTGAGACTTGCCTAGGGTTATATGAGAGGTCCAGATTCCAAGACTAGTATTTCCAGAATGATGTTCTTACAGACTACCCAGTGCTATACCAGAATGCCTGCCTGTCACTCGCTGTGCAAATACCTGGAGGATGGCAAAGTCAACCTGGAACAGTCATATAATGGAAGAGAAAGGGAAGGAGGAAGGGGGAGGGAGAAGAAAAGGGAGAGAAAAAGAGAGTGTGTATTATATTGTAGGATGTTTGTTTTTCCTCCCGGAATAATGACTCAAGCTCCTGGAATAATGACTCATGAGACTCAAAATATATTTACAGATGCCTAGGCCATATGGCTAGGCTCTTCTCTGACTAGCTCATAACTTAAAAATAACCCATTTATACTAATCTACATTCTGCCATGTAGCTGGTTACCTCTGCTCAGGTACCAAATATCTGACCTCTTCATATTTCCCCAGGTGAATCTCCTGCGCCTCGCTCTATCTCAGAATCCTTTCTGCCTGCCATCTGTCCCTCCTTCTATTCTACCCTTTCCTATAGGCCATAGGTTTTTTTTTAATTGACAGACATTGCATCCATGCAAGATAGTCTCTCTACAATTCCCCTTTTTAGTCCAATAAAAGGCTCTTTTTTAGCACAATAAACTATATACAATAATAACAAATTATGAAACAATAATGAAAACTATTAGTTAAGACTTACATTCACAGTGTCTAGTCCATATGCATTTGGCAACTTTGGAGAAAGTATTCTAATAGCTATCCTATCTTGGTAAGTTCAGAGTTCTGCACCTAAATATTTTGTGTTATAGCTTGTATTTAGCAAACTAAATATTTTTAACCTAAAAATATCTTCTTAAATCCTAAATAACTTAAGTTTAATTTTAATACTCTAACTATCTAGTCTTCAACCCCATCAGAGACTTGAGGAGGAAATAATATTACCTTAGTATGTAAGAAGTGCAGGCAAACAGCTTCCAAAATAGAGAATTAACAGACATCTGGCTGCCTGGACAGTCCTCAAAATTCCTCCATAACATTAGAGCATCATCTTCAGCCTTCTGGCCCAGTGTATCTAACAGACATATTTTGTGAAGCAGGAATTATGAAGGACTTAATTCCTGTGTACCTTGTCCCTGCAAAGCTTGACAGTTGACTTTACTGCATCCAGTTTTTCCAATTTGGACACCATTCTGCCTGTAGTTGGAGCCAGCACAGTTTTGCCCAGTTGAAGCAAACTCCAAAATGGAGGTCCTTCAATGCTCATTTCAGGTTGATTGGGGGTGCTGCCAGAAGCTGACATGTCTCATAGTCAAAAAAACCTTTAATTTATAAAAACATCTCTAAAAGCCATATTCTGTAGGTCTCTGAGGTTTTTTAAAGATCACCTATCTATCTGTGTACATATATGTAGTACATAATTATTATCTATCTATAGCATATCTGACTAGACAAATGTTGCTTGTTTCTAGCGATTCACTATTTGTTCAACCTAAGATGTATATTTCTGTGTTAAACTAGACTATTATATGACATGACCATGAGTTTGATTGACTAAATATTAGCTTGTATTACTTAATCATCCTAAATAGTATGTAATAGCAGCTTTTAAAAGGACTAGAACTAAACATTGTATATTTAAATGAGTTGTATAAGTCCAATGTCTTATGTAGAAGTTGGAACATACCTACATTATGTGTATAAAAAATAACTTTAAATCTGTATCAATACATAATAATCTAGACCAATGAAAACCTTAAAACTGTATCATTATACAATAATCCATATCAATGTAAAAATATTTGAGAATAACAATAGCTCTTCATTGGAAGGGTAGATTCAGCAATCTACTCTTTTATCCCTATTAGTCCTCTATTATTGCTATATCCCCCTTCCTTCTTTTCAACCCTTCTCACCCTACCTAAGAAAGAAAGGTTAGAGAATAGAGAGCGAGATCCCTGAGTTTAACCTCTTATACCTTATTTTCTCCCTGACTAAAATAATAACAATTTACAATCAACCCCTTTTTAATGACAACAAAGATTTATGAGCATTCATCACCCATTGCACAACCAAAAATCGTCCACCCCACCTCTTGAGAATTGTGATCTCTTAAAATTGCTTCCTGCTATTTTGGGGTAATGTTTGCCTTTTTGGGAGCCCAGGGAAATTGGAAATGGTTTAAAAATGGTTTAAAAAGCTAGTCATAACATTTGTTGTCCAGTCTCTAAATGCTATGAAAATGCAGTCTTAAATGGAGTCCTGTTTGGAACAGTCTGAAAGAGTGGACTGGTTGGGATCAGCAGCTTTCTTTGAAGCTGTCCTGGAAGCAAGCTTTGATGAAATACCAACTGCAGCAATCTGAGGCTGAATCAAGCAGTATGCTTGATAAATAAATAAATGTGTTTCAGCATCTCAGCATCCTGGAGGATGAGTCTTGTTAAGGTCATTTCCATTCCATTGGTGTTTGGTCCTTTTGTTCTGTAAACATATAAACTCTGGCAAGTAATATACAGTTCTGCAATTATGTATGTATGGAATGTGCAATGTGCACAGATCAGTTAAAGATGATTCTCTGCTCTTTGTTTGAGCAGGTAAAAGACATCTGTCTCTCCTTATGAACCAGTTTGCACCAAACTGCAATATAAACCTCCATCCATGCTATATAAAAGGATGGCATGTACTAAAAAGTCATGAGGACTTTGTAGCCAACAAGATTTATTGGCTATGTAAAGACATTTAAGTCTCAGTTAGTCTTAAAGCTGTTCTCATGTAGAGGGATCAGCACATACCTACCTGTCTTGGTCTTTTCAATTTTGTTCTTGCTGTCTTTAAGCCAAGGTCTTCGGGATGGAGGTGGGATGGGCTTCCTCTGACAAATCTGATTTCCAACAGTTTGGATGGAATACATAACGTTTCTTCTACAGTGGAAAGAAATGCAAACTCTCCTCCCCAACATACTTCCTTTTTTTCCATTCTAAACATATATATGTTGATCTAATTCATCAGTGCTTTCTAAATTCTAGTGCTTTTTAATTGCTATGCTATCTGTCTCATTGACTTTTAAAATACTTAAAGTCAACAAAGCACCATGTAATCTATCCCTGAGATATTCCTTATCCCCATCTGTTCTATAAACACCTCTTTTAAACTCTTGTTAGATCTCTCCATAATTGCTTGACCTATATGATTGTAAATTATATTTGTAACATTTTTTTATGCCATAATGTCCAAAAATTACAATGTTGTATTCCAATGGATACACATGCTGAAGCACTATCAACTTCAATCTGTCAAGGCATTTCCAAGATAGTTGTCACTTCCAACAAATGTATAATCCCAGAATTTAAGGCAAAAGTCCATTGGAATTCTGAGTATGAACTAATGGCATGGTGCATATATTTTAGTTTTCTAAACTCTGTAACATGAAGCATACAGGCCGTTGTATGACCCTGTTCCAAGACCACACCAATCAGGATCTGCATTCCTATAATGAATATATAAGACACCACACTTAAGTTTTTAGGGATGGAATGGGAGGGTGAGGAAAAAAATTTGAGGTTGTGTACAGAGTGGGCTTTGGTTGTTTTTAATTTGGAGCAAATATGACAAAATACTCTCATTGGGGTAGTATGCACAGTATTCATATTTATAGATAGCGAGACAGGGTATTCTTTTTTATTGCTAATTGTTTAACTCTTGTATAGTT